GTATGATCCTACTATTTCCTGAAAGAGTAGTTTAAAAATAAAGGCAGTTATATAAATTGAGGGGAGAGACCACAGCAGCGCTATAAGTAACATAGAAATGTTCCGTGTTGATTCCTACATGTACACAATCATAATCATATGATTTAGAACATTATCATGATTTCTAAAATGTATTCAAATATTTTAAGTCCAATAATTAGAATTGCTTTATGAGAAGGAAATCCTTATCCTTTATTATTGAATGGAAAATTCTCATTGTTTATTTAAATAAGAATCATCAAATTTTTGAGGTGGAAGGGATATTGGAAATTATTGTTTTATCTACCATGTAACTTGGACATACGAAAGTTAAGGACTTTATGGGAAATATATAGATGTTAGACACTAGAATTCACATGAACTGCTAAGTTCAGTGTTTCTTTCTTCTATAGCACACTAATTCTCCTGTAAATTCATCTCAAAAACCTTCTGATCTCATTCATCTTAGCACCTACAGGTCTGATATGATCCTTGTTTATTTCAATGGTTTTTCTACTAATCTGTAAGAATGAACATAATTGTCACTTTTTCACTATTATATTCATAGTTACAATGGCTAAGTGAATGGTATTAATGAGACATTATAGGTATTTTAGTTTTTGTTAGGTATAAGTAAATAAATACAACAAAAATGCAGAATTGTAAAGTGCTATTTCATAAAAGGTATATAATTATTGTGTTCAATATGTTGCTTTTCCACTTCTAAATCTTATACTATTTTAAAAGGTCCTTTAGACTTTGAAATAGCAATTTTGTGTTACACTGGAAATGCATTCCACCTTCTCCTCAACATTCAATGAGTTATCATGCTGTAAAGAATAATAGTGAAGTTATGTTGCTGTTCCTTTTAACTGGAAAAAATATTCTAGAGTTCTATGTTTTTTGGGATAAAGAAAACCAATACATTTTTCCCGTTGACAGATATATAGAGGTTTTACTGATTTGCTTCAGTTAAGAAGCTATATCTGGAAAAACAGCTGTTAATCAGAGTTAGAATCTGATTACACTGTCAATAACCATCCATTATTTTCCGGAAACATCCTTCTACAAAGGACAAAAAGCCAGGTCACATTAGGAGGTGACAGGAATTAGTGCAAGTCTCTACAGTTCCCCCAGATGTCGGGCTTTGCTTTACTTTGTTTTTTTCTGCCTACGCAGAAAAGAGTTGATGTAACAGGTTTGACTACTATCCTTACAAAGGCCTGCTTACACTGTTGGCCATTGTTGGTATCTGGAAACTTCTATTTCAGGACAGTTTCACTACCCTAACTGATAATTTTGGATCACTGTGCATGAAAGGCTTTCATGAACAAAAATGTAGTTTATGCTGAATATTTGCTTTCCATCTTGCAGTATGGAATTTTGTTATATGCCAGGTAGAAGCTGCCTACTTTACCACCCCCTACAAAAATCCCTGGGCCCTGAGTATCTTAGGATGCCCTCAATGGTGATGAATGGTGCCATTTTACTTGTGTTACCACAAATTGGTGCTATAATTATGTCATATATGACTCCAATGGGCCAGAACTCTGGAAGTCTACCCTCTTTTTTGCGCAGCTATTGTCCCTTGCACTCTTTTCATTTGCTATTCTTGTTCCATTCCTTTCACTTTAATGTTATAGCCATGAATACAACTATATGCTGAGTCATGAACAAATAATTGAACTTGAGGATGGTAATGGTTCCAATATGTTCCCCTATCTTTCAAATATCCTAATCATTGCACCTTGAGAACATTTATTTCTCAGATTGCTACTGGTGAACTCTTCAGTAATTGAACTATCTCCTTGTGCCAGGAATTATTTTTGCTCCATATACCATTAAGAGTGGTGTCTATTTTACACACAGGTTTAAATAAGTGTGACATCCCTCATCTTGCCACCTGTTTTCTTAGACTATCCTCAGTACCATTTGTTATTCAGACCCCTAAAATCTGATGCTAAAGGGGGGGGAGGGCAGGAGGCATGATGAATAAAGGGCTGGGAGCTGGCAAAGGAAGTTTCATGTTATAAGAACCATATTTTTCCCAAACTAAGCATATAATTTTTAGTTTTAAAACTTGCAAATGTTTTGTTGAAGATTTTGTTCCCACAGGACTTTGGCATATAGTGCGATGCTCACATTCTTAGTTGAAAAAGTGCCATCCAGAGACTCTGGAATAATCAAATTTGTATGATCTCTTCATCTGTGGGTTCTATTGCTTTTCTTCACAGTGGGGTGGGTGTTTGATATTATTGGTTTCTGTCATAAAATAAAAACAACTCTATGGAGAGCTAACTGTGCAAAAGTGAAAACCGTGTAAGAGGTCAGATTTCCAGTAAATATTAGTTTCTCTTTACAAGATATCCATGAACATACACTCAAACTTTTTCAGCCACTTCATGCCCAGGGTATTTCCCATTTAGGCTTTTTTCTTCCGCATAAAAAGACAGCTTACATTAACTCAGCAACTCTTGACCTAAATTCTACCACTACCTCTACCCAACCCAAGCCCCCCAAAATCCAGAGGATTGATCTGAACAGTACCAGTTCTCCCATCAAGTCTCTGGGTTGATAGTTCATATGCTACAACTCAGGCTCAAAAATATATATTTCATTATTATTATGTCAACATTATTATTATGTGAAAGAAAAGATGATGAAATACTTTAAATGCTAATTCAATCTCTGTATTTGTGTGGTCCCTTCATTGTTCTCATTCCCTGAAACCTCTTCCCTCCACCTCTCATTTCTACTACTAGCCAGGGGCATAGCAAGTCTAAACATAAGCCTTTAGTAAGGTCAGTTCTATTCATAATTTGGAAAGTGGATTCTTCTCCTTGTCCTCTTCTATTCTGTTCCCTAAATATATGTCACTGAAGTAACCCCATTATCCTTCCATGCCCTCCATACTCAGTTACCAGAGAGGAAGAAGACTAGAGACCAATAAAGCTGATGAACATAGCTGCAAAAATCCTCACAAAATCTTATAAAACCAAATTATAATAATACATTAATGGATCATACATCACAACCATGTAAAATTTATTCCAGAGTTGCAAAGATGATTCGATATCTGTAAATCAATCATGTAATTGATCACATCAACAAAAGGAAAGATCATATTGGCATGATCATATCAATATTCAAATAAAATATTTGACAAATTCAACATCCATTTATGATTAAAAATTTTTCAAATATGCAGATAGAGGGAAGTTACTTCAACATCATAAAGGTCATATATTGCAAATCTACAGCTAAGATCAGACTCAATGGCAAAGAACTGCAAGTTCTTCCTCTAAGATCAGGTATAAGACAAGTATGTCCACTTTCCACCACTCCTGTTCAACATGGTATTGGAAGATATAGCTAAAGAAATTAAGCAATACAAAGAAATAAAAGGAAACTAAATTTGGAAGAAAGCAGAACTGTCACTACTTGTAGATGACATGATTATATACATAGAAACCCCTAAAGATTCCACTTAAAACAAAAAACTATTACAAACAATAAATCAGTACAGTGAAGCAGGAGGTTACAATATCGTCATACAAAAATTGTTTCATTCCTGTATGCAAATAACAAAAGAAAGGAGGAAGAAATTAAGAAAACAAACCTGCGGCCTCTTTGGTGGTGCAAAGAGCACAGCACTATGAAGCAATCCGCAGCCTCTGCAGCGAGTTTGATGCCCAGTCTTCCCGGGAGCAACCCACATGGCGCAGCAGACCTCTCCTGTCTCACCTGCTGCTCCCCTCAGCAGTGTATTTCAGTCAGTCTGCCTGTTCTGTTCCCCACTTTCTCTCTGGTGAATCCTCTAACCCCTGCCCACATCTCTGGCCTATATCCCAGTTCTTGTATGCATCAATAAATAAATCTTTAAAAAAAAAAAAAGAAAAAGAAAAAAGAAAGAAACAAACCCATTTACAATTGCATCCAAAAAAAAAAAAAAACACAACTTAGGATTAATAAAGGAGATGAAAGGCCTATAAAATGACAATGAAAACTATAATATGTTAAGAGAAATAGAAGACACAAGGAAATGGGAAGATTGCCTGCTCGTGGAATGGAAGAATTAACATTGTTAAAATGACCTATAATTCTTAGCAGGTGTTTTTATTTGTGTGTTTATTGACCTGTTCAGCATACATTTCTGTCTTTTGCTGACAGCATGCTGATTTTCTGTCCTTTGAGAAACCACTCAATCTCAATCTCCATGATTTTTTAAGAGTTAGCGGTGTTAACAGAGGACATAGTCCTGTACAGTTAGACCTGCCTGTACAATTAGTCCTGTACAATTATCCTGGTAACAGTCACCGGCTGAAAAATAAACATACTATCCGAGTGAGACCATACAAGAGCAATCTCCAGACTCCAGAATTCAGCAGGAAAGAGGTTCTCTCTTCTACTGTGGGGACTAAGCCGAGATAAAATACTGCGCAAATCTGGTGGGTGTCTTTGGCACCTTTGGAAGAGAATCTTCCTGAGAATGAGGCTAATGTAGATGTTAGCTGAGCCAACAGAAGAAGATGGATACATTTCCATGATTTTAAGTCCCTAATATAGTCATGTTGAAAGTTGAATAGGTAGAATATACCTTAAAATTCTTCACTTAGATAAACTGAGAGAATTTTTGGCCACATTTAGTTTCTCTCCTGGTCAATTAAAACTGTTTGGACTAACACATTATTTTTCATTTACTATATGTATTTAATATTGATTTTTGAATTTCGGAAATAAGATGAAATATTTGTTTCAAGTTTAAGGAAATACATATTCTGAAACCAATCTCTTCTGATTACTCAGTTAATTTTAGTGAACCTTTATTTTGTCATTATTAAACTTAAATACACTTTATAAAAGTGATAACCTAACCAGACACTGATGGCTTTGAACACAACTGCTTAAAAGAACGTTTTGAAAGTTCCGCCTCCGTTGCCCCTAGCGACTGTTTGTTGTCTTTCTGGAACGTAGTAATCGCCATCGACCCACCCACATCGTGCTAAGACCCACTCAGGCTCCACCGAACCGCCCCAGCCTACCTCCAGGCCCAGACAGAGGCTGACATAGCACCCACAGCATGGGGGAACCCAGCGAGCTGGTGCCCAATTCAGGTGCTGTGTTTACATTTGGAAAAACTGAATTTGCTGAAAATATTCCTAGCAAATTCTGTTTTAAAAAGTACATACCTATATGTCTTTCCTGTGGAGATGAACATACTGCAATTGTTACAGGAAATAATAAACTTTACATGCTTGGCAGTAATAACTGGGGGCAGTTAGGATTAGGAACAAAGTCAACCTTTAGCAAGCCAACTTGTGTCAAAGCTTTAAAGCCTGAAAAAGTGGTATTTGCTGCCTGTGGAAGGAACCACACCATAGTTTCAACAAAAGGAGGCAAAGTTTATGCAGCTGGAGGAAATAATGAAGGACAGCTGGGACTTGGTGACACTGAAGAGAGGAACACTTTTCATCTAATTAACTTTTTTACATCTCAGCATAAGATTAAACAGCTTGCTGCTGGAGCTAGCACTTCAGCTGCATTAACTGAAGATGGAGAGCTTTTTATGTGGGGTGACAATTCTGAAGGGCAAATTGGTTTAAAAAATTTAAATAGTGTGTGTGTCCCTCATCAAGTGACCATTGGAAAACCTATCTCCTGGATCTCTTGTGGATATTACCATTCTGCTTTTGTAACAAGGGAGGGAAAACTGTATACATTTGGAGAACCTGATGGTGGGAAGTTAGGTCTTCCCAATCAGCTGCTGGTCAATCACAGAACACCCCAGCATGTGTCTGGAATTTGTGAGAAGGTGATCCAGGTAGCTTGTGGTGGAGCGCACACAGTGGTTCTCACAGAGAAAGATGTGTACACCTTTGGCCTGGGACAGTTTGGCCAGCTGGGTCTTGGCCCTTTTCTTTTTGAAACTTTAGAACCCAAAGTTGTTGATCATATTAAGCATCAGAAAATAAGTTCTATTTTCTGTGGAGAAAATCACACTGCTTTGATAACAGAGGTGGGCCTTCTGTATACTTTTGGAAATGGTAGACATGGAAAATTAGGACATGGACTGGAGAATTTTACCAATCATTTCATTCCTACTTTGTGCACTAATTTTTTGAAGTTCACAGTTCAATTGGTTGCTTGTGGTGGATGTCACATGCTAGTTTTTGCTTCTCCACGACATGGTGTGTCAAAAGACATTTATTTCGATGAAATAAATGATTCTTGCTTACCTTCAGCAACTTCTCTACCTGTCAGTGATCTGTCATCAGTAAATGTTGTGTATAGAACTTTCTCAGCACATCTGCAGCGAAGAAAAAAGGAGAAATTGCCCGATTCCATTCAAATGGTGCAAACACTACCTCCAATTGAAGGTACTTCTGTACCACCTGTTGGTTTTGCCCCCAGTTCAGTTCCTTTCCATCTTCCTACAAGTCCTTCACCAGAACAAACTATGTCTGAAAAGTGGGACACCCTGCACTCAATGCAACCTAATTATTTTCAAGATAAAATAACCAAAGAAAAAGAAACAAATAATTCTTCAGCAGCAGATTCAGAAAGCTTTGGAGAAGCCACAGATGTCTTAAGTATGACACATGTGATCAGTTTGAATTCCAATGACAAGTCATTAAAATTATTGCCAATTCAAAAACAAAAGAAACAAACAATTAAGAAACTGAAGCAGCACACAGCTCATAGTGAAAATGATGATAGTGATGAACATGAAAGTAAAGAGATGTGCCAAAATATGAAAGAAGGGAAAACATATAATCAACTTTTGGCAAAAGGAATCTACATGGCTCAAGCAGCTGTGGTTATGGGAGCATTTTCAAATAAGCATGTACAGATTCCAGAGGAGCAAAAAGGAACAGAGGATTCAAAAAGAAGTAAATTAGAGGAGCAAAACACAGAGGCAAACGAGAAAAATATGGAGGTGTATGGAGGAAAGGAAGAGGAAGTAGTGATCTTATTAGATGACCGGACTGACAGGATGGAGCATCATACATTTTCAGAAAAAGAAGAAAGTGAAAATGTCGACGAGGAAACTCATGACAATCTGAAAGATGAGAAGAAAGCCAGGGGAGGCCATAAAAATCTTGAAGATGAGACAGAGGAGCAAAAAAAAACAGACAACTCAGTTGAAAAAGACAAAAAGTCCAACTGGAACAAACAACAGGCCATTTATAAATACAATGAAAATCCAAAAGGAAACATGCATAAAAGGATATGGTAATATGTTTTGGTTTGAACAATATGGCCAGTTTTGATATTTGTTTACACTAACATTTTTGACAAGCCAATTCAAATTGTACCTCAAACTCTCCTTCAAGTGTTGCAATAAAATTGCATTGAAATCCTTCAATATAAAAATATTTTTATATGTGACAAATTAAGATATTTCATAGATTTTACTAAACGATTTTACTTCTTTGTAATTTGATAAGGCAGCATTTGCAATTGCATGATGCAGTTTTTTATGTATTTGCAATTTGTTTAATTGAGAAAAATTTTTTTTGATGAGGATATTTTAATGTATCATCTGGTTGCTGTAAAAAAAATTTTCTATAACATAGATTTTCATGAAAACATAATGATCTCAGGGTATTTCTGGAAATAAATAGATCTCTAGTCTCATAGCTGAAAGTGAAATGTTTCTCCTGGAATTTAAAAGCAACTCTCTGATAAAGTGAGATCAGGGAGAATTGAAGAAAATTAGCAGATGTAAGATGAAGGAAAGAGGGTCCCTCTGAGGGGTGCACTCCAGAAAATATTTGATTTCACTGTGAGCAAGATGGTCAATACACAGCTTATGCTGAGCAGGTAGCAGGTGCTCATTGGTCCATGGATCCTATAAGAAGAGAAACCACAAGTACTTGAGGTTTTAGGGCAAGCCTCAGGGTTGCAGGCTGGGTCAGCAAGGGAATTTAAATAGAAGCCTCTCCATATTTCCAACAATCAAGACAACACATCTATATAAGAGCTAGAATCTAGGAAGATGGGGAAATCGGAGCCATCTACAATGTAATTTTATTTGCATTTACCTCATTTATATAATTCTGTATGAAATGATGAGTGGTATAGAGAGAAAGAATACTCTGTTTTTGTATAATGGATATTCCCAGGTAAAATTTACAGCAAAGAAATTGCAGTACATGAAATCTTTAAATTTGGCAGTACTGAAAAACTGTTCAGAAAAAAGAATTTCATTAAAAATAAAATCCATGTAAGTTTACAAAATCTTCACAAAGCTATTCTACATAATTTATGAGAATCTCACACCAGTCTTCTTTTGATTATTTCATTAAACCACATGTGTAGGCCTCTAGTACAATTCCATTTTTCCACTTAAAATTATTTGAATGTCTCTTAGTTTTCTAGCATTAAGCTTGGTGTTAGGCATATAGAACTAATTACATCATTGTCCAAAATTCATGGAAATAATAGTAGATTCTATAGCACGGTTTATTCTATAAAGGATGAATTTTAATGAATTCAATCTACATTCAGAATTTATCTGGGACTCTGTTGAAGATCCAAAGAATAACTCATTTACAATACAAATGGTTGTTACCTCTGCAGATGGTCCTTCTGGGGCAAATGAGATCCTTATTTCTGTCTTTCAAAACTTACTCGAAATTGTCAGTTACAGATAATTTTCATTTAATTTGTGTGATTTTAAATAACTGGTCAAATAGTAATAAATATTTTATATAAAAAGAGAATAAGTTTAATTTTTTACATTATGTGATATAGTTAAATGCACAATATAAAATCTAATCTAAAGAAATGGCACTGTCATAAGTTTGAGTTCAAGCTAAAAATCTGGGTTCTAGTTCAGGAGAGAGAGTTATATGATTTATTTTTAAGGGATGAAATACAATCTCAAAGTCTAAAATAGATCATAGGAAAGAAGTTTGATTTTATTCCTATCAAGTCTCCAATATAATGCATTGGTTGAAGTCCAGGACTCACTCTGTCTTCTTGATATGGAAGCTGATATGTTCAGCTATAACAATATGCCCACAGCAATACTTTCAAAAACTTCTCAATGATTTAACTCTATGGAGTGGTATAAATAGTATTTTGTACACAATATGCAGACAACTGTTGAAAGCAGAAATTCACCAGATCAAATGAAAGAATCAGTTTCCTAAAGTAATGATGCTTTCCAATGTTCTTAAAATATGGCTTTTGAATACTTAATGTCAAAATGTTCAAGTTTTCCTTATACTCTGGTTTTAGAATTCAGAACCCCTATAGCTATGAGCTTATTTAAATGGATAAGTATTAAAATAGTCTATTTTTTAGTTTTCTATACAATATAAGTCTATGACTTCCAGTCACTCTGTATTTATTTGGTAGATGGCAGTAACATCATCAACGCCTCTAAACTAGTTCAGATCATCCAGAGTATTAAGACAATTCAAAGAAAACATTCTAGTCAGTCATTCTTGTAGAGTCTTAAAGTTGATAATTACTTAAATGACTGTACACAAATGAAGACTTATTCTGTATGAATTTCATACGAATTATCAGAGAGCATTGTAATGGCCCCTTTGCTGGAATTGAGGAGAAGAATGAGAACTTCACTGAAGTTCTCAATGCATGACAAAGAGTTACCCACAGAAAAAGTACTCACAACTAATAAAAAATGGTGACCCCACATGCTTTGAGCTAGAAATCCAGGAAAAACATTTTAGAGTAGTTCAAAGAAAGTCAAAAAAAGTTAGAAGGGGAATGACAAACACAGGATGATTTCATATGTGTGGTATAAAGAAACAAAAGGAAAGATAAAATGAAACCAAAACAGGAAGTATCATTCAATCTTTTTTTCATAACAGTAGCCAAGACAAAGGGAGTTCTATTTCTGCTGTCAACCTAGAGCATTTAACAACATTCTGAGAATTGTATTCAGTTCTAAGTGAAATGTAGACAATCTGAAGCATTTCAAAGAGAGAACAAAACAATCAGGAAAGTAAAGTGACTCAAATGCTTGCCCTAAGAAGTTGAGCAGAAGCAGTAAATTAAGAAAAAAGCTTAGCCGAAGAGATAAATTAGGGAAAATCAGATCGTTGCCTTTAATGTTTGAAGATGGTGCATAAGGGAAAGTTAAGCCTTGCCTAAGGCCCCAAGATATAGAAAAAGGACCATTAGTTCGGGACATTAAGTGTCTGAGCTTTTCACTGGAGAGTGATAGGTTACTAGGGTTTGAATATTTGGTAGCAATACCACAGAGGATGTAGTGCTCACTAACTTCAAATAACTGTTGTATAGCAAAGCTTAGTGATAAATTAGTCTTAATCTTGGAAACTGAAGAAGCAGCAGTAATCTGAGAGGGGAGTTTAATTAAAAGAACCAGAGTAATATGAGAATATATATGATTAATTTTTAACTGCTAGTGTTAAAATTTTGGTAATGTTTCATTCACAATGTATTATAGGTCACAAGTTTTAGTTAATAAAATTTAATCATTTTTTCATTAAGAAAAGAAATAGGACCATTAGGCACAAATCCTGAGGAAATACTCTCATATATATATATATATATATATATATATATATATATATATGAGTGTTTTTTCTTAGTATCTGTAGCACAGATATAAGATGTTCACATTAGAGGTGTGCCACTTCCCCGGAGCATAAAAAAGAAGGTGGGGACACTACTTAATGTAATAAAGTGCTAACTTTTAGGTGGCAGCCATAAATGGCATTGGGGAAAAAAATGACAATAGATTAAAGAGTAAAATCTTTCCACACACTAGCTATAACATGGAAAAATAAAGAGTCAAACAGACCAGTGTTTTCAAACTTCACTAGGAAGTCCCCATTACTGGATAGAAAATAAGCATTTCTGTTCCTGATGTCAGAGAAATCACATTTATTTTAGGCATTGTAGTTCTTCAACGATATACATATAGTAGGTGAGAACAAAAACAGTCAACCCCAATACATAGCCTGTATGTTGAAATAAAAATCACCTTTTCTACCTTCATTAACTTGGTTCTGCTGTGCTTTAATGTCTTCATCAGCATTTTCTTTACTTTCTCATAACTCTCCTTGTGTTTGCATCCTAAGATACTTTGAATCTCTGTCTCAACATCCTTATCTTGTCTTTTTTATAAACTCTATTTTCACCCAGTTCTAATCAAGTCCTTGCTCTGAAAGACCCACCTTATGCCAAATTCCAGCTCTCTGAGCCACTGCCAAAGCTTTTTGAAGCTTATTGCATAATATGCAATAAATTCAGCTTTGTCTTATCAACAGGTTTTGTTGGTAACAGAGAGCCAGTTTTTGACATAGAAAAGTGGCACCAAGTAAGACTCTACAGGGAATTAGAAATTCACATACAAACTTTAAAAACTTTGTATTTAAGACTAAAGCAGCAAGATATGAACAACTGGGCAATGTCACAACAATAATAGACACTCTAAAGTTGTGGTCACCAGTTCAGAAAATACATGATTATAAATTTAAAAAAAAATAACTAATTGTGTGTCCATGTGTGATTGTACTTAGAAAAGAATAGAACCTGGATTATGCTACTTTTGTTATCTAGCACATGATTAAAACTCTTATTTCCCACATGACATATGGAAGACCTGGCACTGTAGGCTTAAAAATAGAAGCTAGACAAATAAGTCAGACATGGAATATGCCAAATGTTGTGATTAAATCTTAGTGAGGCATAGTTCCTTGACATTTGCTTTTGTATTTGCCCTCTACCCTTTGTTCTTTGACAAGAGTGCAAAGGTAGTTGGGAGAGGAAGGGAATAATAGATAAATTGCTTGTTATTACAAAACTTCATAGAATGGAGCTTCAAAAGCTAGAGGAAGAAACAGAAAGATGTCCAAGGGAATAATAAAGAATGATTCTTTTTTTGCTGTTCAGGGGAAAACAAAGACTTGTCTGGTATTTCTCACTGTTACCATTCCTTGTCTTGAACTACTTTTGCTTAAACCTTTTAAAGGTCCTGATATGTTCAAAGCTTTTAGAATTACAGTTGAATGAAATCCAAAGTCATAAAATATCAGATGTGTATGGTATGAGTTTGGGTAAGAAAGCATGGATCAGAAACAATTGCAGCAATATGTTTAAGGCAGATGATTAACAAAATTAAGGAGGACTGGGAGAGAAACCAGAAAGATTCACTAACCAAAAGTAAGATCAAATAAAGAATAAGATGTTGGAATAGCATCTATATTGAAGGCAAGATATTTATAATTGTTTAACTATAAGGCAGAATGTAAAAAAAAAGAGGGAAAATAGTACTTATTATGTGTGCATATATTATAAAAACACATGGAAAATGTTTAGGAAATAATACAAAAGTATAAAGTGAGTATAATTTAACACAGTATATAGATACAGAACATCCAACCTAAATAGGAGTTTAGTACAGAGTGTGGACCACTCTGGACTCCTATGCAAAGATGCATGATATTTCTATCAAGGCTATGGATTAGTTATAAGAAATTG